TATAAATATAAGATATTACATGGTAAGACAGAATTTAGCCTCACATTTGGCCAAGATTCATTTAAGAAATTATAGGTGTAGGTTTAATTTTATTTATTTATTTATCGTATTTATATAGCTGCCCATCTCACATATAAGTGACTCCATTCAAATACAGATGGATATATTTGTATTTAATTTTAACAAAAACGTACAGTACTTTTCTTCTTATTGAAAAATTAAAAGCTCCCTGACTCTATCCTCTCTGTAATGCAACTAACTACTGTTCTGGTTGAAATGGGCAACTGAGAATCAAGTGTCTCTAAAGGACAGCGAATAGGAAAAAGGCTGCCATGAAGCTTGATGGTTGCCTTACAAAAAGCCAACTATTTTTCTGATATGTATTTCAATTTTCATGCAGGGAGAAGGCTAGGATTACAAAATATGGATAACCAAAGTAAACTCTAAATGTGGATGTTTAGTGGCTCTCTGAATTTTTGCTGGTAGATCAGGTATGGGTAGTCCTCAACTTATGACCACAATTGGGACCAGAACTTCCATTGCTAAGCGACACAGTCGTAAAGTGAGCTGTCAGGTGACCACATTGCTTAACAATTGCAATCCTGGCAATTCCCCTTGCTGTCATTAAGCAAAGGATCCACCCCAATCCAAGCCATTCTGGGCTTGGTCCCTCCCAGCTTGGAGCCTCAGTTAGGTAAGGGACTACCTCCAACTCTCCCCACCCATCTATCTCCCCCTCATCTTTGCCCTTTTGGGGTGGCAAGCAGCCGCTGAGCTGTAGCACAACACAAAGCTGCAGCCACCCCAGCCAGCTGTGCAAATCTACCCTAGAAGCTGCAACTGCCCCAGCCCAGCTGCCCAAGCCACCCTAGGAAGCATTTGTTCATCCAGCTGCCTTCTCTCCCTGTTCTCTGCACAGACCTTTCGCCTTTTGTACCCAGCCCCCACGGCCGAAGCAGAAGCACCTCGCTGCCTTTCTGAAGGCTCTCTGAAGTCAGCCCAGCTTTCCAAAGGCTCAGGGAGCCACGCGGAGGAAACGTTTGCAGGAGAAGCTGGGTCCAAAAAGGAGACAGCAAAGGCAGCGAGGTGCTTCTGCTTTGGCCGTGGGGGCTGGGTGCAAAAGGCGAAAGGTTTGTACAGGGAACTGGGAGAGAAGGCAGCTGGGCAAACAAATGCTTCTTTGAGCAGCTTGGAGCTGGGCTGGGGCGGCTACAGCTTCCTGGGGTGGCTTTGCGCAGCTGCAGCTTCATGCTGTGCTGCAGCCCAGGGGCTTCTTGCAGCCCCAGAGCCACATGGTTCGGGGGCCACTTGCTGCCTGCAAGGCAGGGTGCAGGGTGGCCAGAATGGCATAGATGCAGGTTAGATAGGCAGGCGGAGGGAGTTGAAGTGTCCCTGCAGTCGTAAATGTGGGCGGGCTGCCAAGCACCCAAATTTTGATCATATGACCATGGGGGCACTGCAACGGCTGTAATTTTGGGCACAGGTCATAAGTCCCTTCATTCAGCGCTGTTGCAACTTTGAACAGTCACTGAACAAATGGTCATAAGTTGAGGATTACTTGTAGTCCTAAAAGAGACAAAGAAAGCTATTGCTTTTCACTGCTTTATTAAAAAGCATCTGTTTCCTCTCTCCCTGTAGCCTTAAGTGATACATATCACACACACAACCTTTTTAGAACCACGCATTAAATGCAGAATCCATTTCTCCTGCCTCCCCAACAGCATCAGTGCTGTATAGAAGTTAGTCCATTAAAGAATCAAATTAGATCAGGAAAACTAAAAGTTTCCTCCCAGCCATAAAGCTGACTGGACCTTAAACAAGATCTTGTAATTCAAGTTAAATTTTTACAGAGTTATTAAAAGACTAATATGGGGAGGAAAAGATGACAAGGTTCATTGCACTAACCTTTTCAAAGAAAGAATATTTACCCTACAACATGGGAGAGCTGGCGCAAGCCAAGTGTGAAACAAAAGTTCAACTGGGCAAGCAGAAACACTGGATTTTAAAATTTGATTTAAATGTTGGTTTTCTCTTTAAATGAAAACCGAAAGGAGCTTAGTTTAAAATAATGCCAAACCATCAACCCCAACCATCCAAAACAGATTAAGTACAGCAAAACCAATTAAGATATGAAGAGTAAAATCATAAAACTGTCCAAACCACATCTCCACATGATACACCTACAAGTCACAGGTTAAAATTGGGCCTAAGACACATCTTAGTGGGCATTTCACAGCATGGGCCAATCTTAACACGTAACAGCTATTTCAGGCAGAAGTTTTTTTAGCCCTGCTGGAGGAGGCCAAAAGCCTCCGTCCCTCACAAGCAAGTCCCCCCCGCCCCTGCTGAGACTTTCACTTTTAGTGCACTCAGTCCAACCTACATGAGGGCGAGGGAGCTGGGCTGACTGAGTCTTGTAACACCAGATCAGCACTGAGAGCCTACATAAGCTGGTGTTTCAAGCATTCGCAGCTACAATCATATACCCAGAAATTAAGGCAATACAATTAGGGCCTCAGAACACCTTACTCCATATTTCAAAATGCTATTATGCAACTAGAATAATCTACTTGTTTCCATCAGTGTGCAAATTACTACTAGTAGTAGCCTGGGGATCCCAATGCAAAGGTGGCGGCACGGGTTTAACTCATGAGCACAGTTCTATACACAGAGATTAAAAACTGATTCCTTAAAACACAACAGGATTTGTCTCAGAGTCAAGATTCAGGGTTGTTTTTTGTGTCGGTTTAGGAAACTACAGAGTAACAACCATCTATACTCAGATCAGGTGCCTTCTCCCTTAGCTGGCAGACCCTCGGAGTAGCATAACAGTCCATTTTAGGAGCTTGCTACACAAAACATACTAAATGGTTTTGGCTTAGCATACTGATCAACTAATTATGGCTTCCTGGATAAATCAACATCCAAGAAACCGTGGTTTAGCATAATGTGTAAGCCCGATCAGTTGTTGTATCTACAACGACCGGCCGACGCCCTGTGGAGTTTTACGAGGGAGGAAGGCTTTTTCAAGCCTTCCTGTGCGTCGGAAACTGGATTTGGGGCTTTCCAGGCGCACGGCTCCACTTTGCAAAGATGTTCCGATCCATTCCACGAGACCCCACCAAGCCCGGTTCCGCGGGAGGGCCCAAAAAAGCGGCCCTCTGGCTCTGGGTTAATGCAGAGAGCTTTTCCCCCTCCCCCCGCGGTGCCATCCTCCACATCCCTACAGCAAACCGGAATCGCCAGTTTCCGGCGGGAGAAGAAAGGACGAGGGTGCCCGAAGCGGCGTCCTCCTCGCTTCAAGCTGCCTTACCCCGCCCTGGTAATAGCCGCCTCCCGGGCCAGGGTACGCCATGGTCTGCTGTTCGCTACTCTTCGGAAAGCGCCGGCAATCTCCCCGTGATCTCTCGGCTCTGCCCCAAACCGGAGGAAGTCCGGATCAAACCACTGTCACGAAAGGAAGGGATGGAGGAAACACTGCTCCGCGGGGAAGCTTTGCGGATGGCGCCGTTTCTGGCCGCGTGTTTGCCCTTCGATCTCGCCCCTCCTTGGCCGCCTTGTGTAAAATCGGACGGAGCGCCTAGCGTTGCCCCCTCCTCTTTTCTGAGGAACATGGTATGAGCCGGATGTCCTTTATTTCTTTAATTTGAAACTTTGTATATGACGGTGAAACTGAGTCTCGAAGGCCTAGTTGGCAGTTTCTGGAGACGGAATTAAGCAACATATGCGCGTGTGGACAGTTAGGAGCTGAGGCAGAGTTTCGAGAAAGGAGGAAAAGCTACATCGCCATGTCGCCAGGAGGACAGAGCACTCCGAGGGGACTTAATCCTACAGCCTAAGTTTTCCCTCTTTCCACTATGTGGAAATCCCACCGTGCTCAGAAGGGTGTAACCCCCCCCCCCAAAATAAGCGTGCCTGGGATTTCATCCTTTAACTCGCCGTCACCTGCGTAGAACAGGTCAGACGGACAAAAGGGAGCGTCTGCAGTGCAAGCCGTGCACTGTTTCTAGGAGCGTCGTGACATTGCACGCACGCCAAAGGGGGTGGGGTTTGCACCACGGCACCGCAGGACTGCCTTCGTTTTTCTGACGATGGTGCTGGTTTAAGTGAAATAAAGCCCAGGGAAGTCAATGGTGGTTAAGTTAAGCTACACCCTACAGAACTGTGGTTAGACTTGTATGGGGTTGTCACGTTTGAATCCTGCCAATCAGGGTTATTCAGCAAATCATGGTTTAACATTTTATGTAAGCCCAGTCTTTACACATACAAAAATTATATAACCTATCTTCAGAAAACACTCTAGAATATTGTTTACTAACAGCCCTGCATACAACCAAATCAATGTGCAACTACAAAATACTTTTTAAAAGATTAATGGTCAATGGATAACCTAAATAAGAGTAATTCAGTTCTTATGGAAATAATAAAAGGTCACTTTTTCTATTTGTATATTTTTTATTCTTTTTAATATATTAATTTATCAGGTTTACCCTAAATGTCAATTTTTGCAAAGACATTGGACCAATCTTCATCAGTGATGGATATGTCACAGCTTTGCTAAAGTCTTAAATTTACTTAGAAGTAAATCTCATGTTTTCTATTCCGTGTTTTCCTAGGGGAGGTGTGTCAGGAATGCAACCCTATTTGATTTAATAAAGATTTCTAGCTCTTATGACATAGAATTTTTCCAGAACAAGCACCCTAGAACTATCTTAAGTATACTTAAGGGCACACCTGTTTCTTTTCTGCATGCAGAAACTGGCACATACCCAATTAAAGCCAAAATAATTGTTAGGGCATTTAATTACTGGGTTGGGCTCATCATATTGTGCCTTTTGAATCCAGTGACATTCCCCAGTTCACCTTGCACTTGTTGGTTTATATTATTAACCAATCATGTGCATTCTTTTGGCTTTTCACCAGAATTCTTTTGGAATTTAAATAATGCAAATGATAGTCCACTACTTAAAAACAGGTTTTAGACATTTTTTGCTCAAAGAAATCTCTCTAAATTTTCAGACAATAGCATTGACCTTTGATATGTCTTTAATAAAACCCAAATTGAAGCATGGATATTTATGGTGTGTAACATCTCCACCATTTAAAGAGACAGTTAACAGACTGATTTCAACAAATATCTTCAGCTACCAGGGAGAGCCGATTCCTTAAAATATCATATAATATGCATTTCTGCCCATGTTCCAACAAAACTATAGATCTTTCACACTATTTAGTCTACTGACCTATTTCTGCTTCTGCCCTTGAGAAATTTTTGGAGTCCCCCTTGGAGGAGAAATTATTCTGGCTCGAGTGATACAAAATTGAATATTTAATGAATTTAAAGAAAAATTTTTTAATGGTGTTTTGCTCAAGTTCTGTTCAAGCAACTGTTAAACAGAGCAGTTTTTATTAAAAGTTTTTAATATTTTATTTATTTATAATTGCTGTACCAATAATGCTATATAAGTTTTATTTGATTTTTATGTAGACTAATGTATTTTAATTATGATTGGTTATCATTTTACTTAACTCCATTTTAGTTTCTTATGACCTGCAGTTGAAACATTAAACAGATTGAATTGAATTAAAAAGTGCAGTAACAAGTATTTCATTATACGCATTCAAATAACATACATCTTTTTTGAAAACTTTATGTTGCTACATAATAGTGAATCAGAAGAAAAACTTAAGATGACAACTAAAAATGTCCAGTTCCCTTATTGTGGTTATGTGTTTTCTAGTCATGCTTTTGCCAATCTGATATCTCAAAAGTAATAGCACAATTTTATTTTTTGCATTTATTTTTAATCTCAAATCTCCATTTCTCCTTTATTGTGTGTCATCTGAGGTTGCCATGATACAATACAGCATATCTTGCATATATGCAAGAAAGGCAAGTAGAAGGTGTCATAAGGTCAACAGAGTAGCTTAAAGAGACTTGGATATTACTTCCTGTTCAAAACTTCTGCTGACAGGTCCAAGTTACCTAGAGGAGTCAGATGAGGGAAAGTTAGCCTAGCTCAGTGTTTCCCATTCTTAGCAACTTGAAGATGGGTGAACTTCAACTCTCAGAATCCCCCAGCCAGTCTATTTCCCTTTTGCATAACTAGTTTCAGGTTTGCTTCTTCACTTGCCTAATAACTCTTACTTTACTTGAAGAACAGTGTTAATGTGGAACATTTGTTTCAGCTCAACAGAAATCTGTACAGTTCCACTGAGTATTTTAAAACAGTAATAGCAATAATTAATAACATAATGCCAAGTTTAAAAAGTACCTAAGACACAAATGTCACTTTCTCCTGCCATCCCTCCATTTATTTTGATCTGCAAATGTTGCAGAGAAGACAGTGGGCCATATTCAAAACAGATGGCAGGAGGCAAATATGTTGACAGCAGTGACGGGACAAAATTAAATTTGATATAATGCAGATTTTTCTCCATTATATATAGTTTCCCCTTTTTATTAAAAATTCCTTAAGGTTTGGAGATAGGGACTGCATCCAGCCTGGAGACCCACATTCTGCATCTCTGCAGTTTGTAGTAATGATCAGACCCTGTAGATCTTGTTCCTATGTACTAATGGGATTGAGTTTTTTCCACTATAATCCCTTTTTTAAAAACCAAGTTTTGGTGTGTGTGTGTGTGTGTGTGTGTGTGTGTGTGTGTGT